TCTCGACTTTAAGATTATAATTGATTCAAAGACAGGACCCGCCAATACATTGCATTTAGTGGCGCCTACAATGCAAGAGAAGGCCGCCTGGACTTCAGATATCAGTCAGGTTTGCAAATCACTTTCACATCATCCCATTTGTCCACTTTTTACCCCTATTTTTATATTAACTAATTTACTTTGATTTCGTCATGTTTTGCATAAATTTATATTTGATTTTTAATCATTTTATTTTACTTTGAAATATAACATCAAAACCACTTAACATTTAGACATTACACCCTTTAAAGACACTTCTCTGTAGTGCACATATGATAGAGTATAGCATTAATATTGCATTCTTTCTCATTCAAGATGTTATTTAAAATCAATTTAATAAGTAGTTTAAACACATTATCAATTAACGCTTAGATTTGATTAATTGACAATTAAAATTACATTAATTTGTTTTATTAATATGTGTCCTGGTGCAATCTATAAACTCCAAAAGTATAAATTAAAATTAATAAATAAATATCTGTATTATAGAGTATTGAATGTCAATATGTAAAACATTATGATAATAAGTGCCATATATTTATTTTATTTATTTTTAGAAGAGATACAGAATTCAAGAATATTATATCAATATTTTTAATAATAGTTAATATAATTAGTTAATACTGTAGTAAAAACAAAATGATGAGAATATGTTGAATGAGTACTAAATGAGTTTGTGTTTGCATTAGTGTTTGTGAATATGTTTGTATTTAACGTCCGATTGATTGCGAGCTTATATTAATAGCACAGACTTTTACGAGAGAAGACTTATTTCTATTTATATAAGCGATAGTAGAAAACACATCATTTGCGAGGCTGTGAACCCAATGCCAGTGCCTGTCGTAGATGTAGTGCCAGTGACTGAAACTATTGTATTGATTTTCTAGTGACGCGGGTTAGCTCACGAGATGATGTATTCTCTCTCTCTCTCTCTCTCTCTCTCCAGTGCCATTGAGTGCTATTCATGCAAACATTTAATCGAAATGAAGTATCTTTTCTTTCTATGGTTGCTATGTTCACAACCGACTGACAAGAAATATGGTCTTTTTAGCCAATTTTTTAACACTTCACGCATTCATTAATACAAATTCATTAATTGGTTTTAATTTTAAAATTTAGTCCTTAATTATGGCTAAAATATATTTGTGCTGAAATTGTCATTTTTACGGCATTTAGTTTCTAACAATTTGTTTTTATTTGTTTTAAATTTTGTTTATTTGATAAATACTTTATGAATGAATAAATTTCGATTAAATTTTTCTTTTGCAAACAATGGGAGTGAAAGGACCCATAAATTGACCCTTAAATCCAGATTTGGGTTATTTTTGTCGGCGAAGACTTCAAATATAAGCTAACTTTTATCGCTTTGAAGGAAATTCAGTCAATTGTCACTAATTTATGCCAAAAGGCTGATTAATGTACCGGTTCTTTGTAAACATTGATCATATCATTGTCATACATGTAAGGCATCATCAATGATGGTCAGGAGCTAATAGAATATGTGCTGTCAAAAAGCCTTTCAAATCGCTTTAAATAGAAAGTTATCTGAATATAAATTTATGCAAAATTTGTTGCAAAAAACGCAAAAATGAATAAATTTTGATGAGATGTGTGTCTCGATGTCTAGTGTATAGATAACGTGCATTTCAACGATCTATTTCACGGAACAATGAGTGACGCGTCGTCGGTAACAATGCCTCACTCTATCAGGTAATAGACATTCATATCGTAAATACATGTATATATTTGTATAATTGAATTGACATATGGTTTGACACGAATTGATGTAAACGCAGAAACGATCCGCGACTGTTCAAAGATGATGTGGACATCCGGTTCAGCCGTACCCTAAACTCGTGCAAATTGCCGCAAATACGTTACGCCAGTCCTGAGCGGCTGTTTGAGAGACTGACAGACTTACGCTTTTTAAGCATCGATTTTCTCAACACATTTTTGCTGACATACCGTGTCTTCACGGATGGCGTCACTGTATTGGAAGCGCTTAAAAGAGTTCATTACAATCCAGAGTCACAATTGGGTACGTTGTCGTCGCTGCACGACTCGACCGGTTCTTTGGACGACATCCAGACCACAGCCAAAAATGAAGGACAATCTCAGTTAGCCGGCGGTGACCTCCTCTGCACTGTCGACTACGACTACTCGCGTCGTATTAGCACCGGATCTATGATCACGGATATCAATGACTTGCATCGGGAGTCCGTAGTGTCCAACTCGGAGTCCACCGCCAGTCAGCACTTGCAACAAATGCAAAGCCAACAACTGTGTCAATCGTCTCGCAATAGCCAACACTGGAGACTTAGTTATAGAAAGTGTAAGTCATTTAATGTGATCAACACTTGCCATAAGTATTACTAAACCATTGCATTGAACGTGTAGTCGAAGAGGAACAGGCGAGGGATCGCTATTTGAGGCGTTTAGGCGACAGAAGTCAACTCCAAGGAAGCATTTGCAGTCAATCTGACTTTCCTTCCGGACCATTGCTATCGCCGGGAATCATAGACCCCATCCAAGTGCCTGTTCCGCCGCCTCCATCACCGGAGGTGCCATATATTCTTGACAACAGTGCTCTTCAACACGATATTAGGATGAAAAACGTAAGTTAAGCCTAATTGTAATCTTATTTTACCATCATAAAGGTCATTCACTTAATATAATTTACTAACAAGTATAATATTTACACTCATCTGTTAGTTAAGTTGCTTAACATGAAAAACACAACTGAAAAAATAACTAAGATTTACATTAAATATTGGATATTTATAAATAAGATTGGGATTTATTTAATCGGATAATATTTTGTTATTTATCAGATTATTTGCATAGCATTAAATAAAATGTTATTAATATTTATTGTAATCTTACAATGAATTCAATTCATCCGTTTATCCAAT